TGGTTATACAACCAAATGCATCATAAAAGCAAAAGTAACCTTGAAAACTCACAAGTCCATCAAGACATGCCAAAGTGAACTGCCTTGCCTCATTTCATCATTTGTTGGAGTTCAATGTCCAAGCACATAGATTCAAAAGCTTGAGCTAGAATCTTGTTCATGAAAAGCAACTTGCAAGTTTGAATTTAGTTGGGCCTTTTTCAACAGAAAGGCAGACTCAGCTTCCTTAATTTTGACCTCATACTTTTGTCGAATTTGAGCAACTGTTTCTTTCATTTCCTTCTCAGATTGACATTTCAAAAGCGACTTCTGTTGGAAATGGCAAAAAAAAAACAACATATGAACAAATATTTTTTCTAGAAATGTCACCAAGGGGTGTGGGGGAGGACTTACTATGCCATCAAATTGTTTAGCAGCTCCGTCCATGTCTTTACGTAAAGTTTCCAATTCAATTTGTAGTGGATGAACATGCAAAGGAATACCTACAATAGGTTCTGTTAGTAATGGAGCTTGGTTCCAGGATCTAACTCTGTTTTCTGCGTGTTGATGTGAAGCTGGTGTACTTCCAGATACTTCAACATCAGGTCCACAATCAGTTCCATTTTCAACCTCCAAATCACAATGATTGGCACAATGGTTCGAACCTTCGCTTGAAGTAGACAGCATGCTGGTTTCTTCATTCAGAGAAACAGCTTGATGTGGATGTGTGGCGGACCCCTCAACTACTTGAAGAGAAGCTCCATAGGTGGTGGCTAAAGAGTTGCTTCCTTCAATTTGAGAACTTTCAATATGGCCTGCATATGCACCCTCAATTGATGGAGGTGGTAAAGAGTTGCTTTGACGCAGCACGAACGTGGGTGTTTAAAACACAGATCGTAGGTTCAGAAACCATAAGTACCCAGTAAGAAAATTTAAGAAAATCTCAAAAAAGATAGCTTAAAGAAGTAGTATTGCAGCGGAAAATTAAGGGGTAACCAATTAAGAATCACTCTTAGTAACCTTTGGTGTCACACCTCAGGATTTAAAGCTGAATCACTCAACTTTTGCAAAGCAAAACTTATTGCAGGAATTTTATTAATCAACGTCTAAAAATCCCTGAAGGGATGTAACCTTATTTATAGGCATAAAAAGACTTAAACCAAAACGTATTAGGAGTCTGATTTGGGAAGTCCAGAATCTTCTCCCTTATTACCTAATAACACTTAGAAACTAAATAGGAAATAAATACTTAAACTAATTCCCTAAAACCAGAAAATCCTGCAACAATGCAAAATACTGAAATACCCTTATACTAAAATACTGAAAAATAAATATAAAAAGAACTTAAATACTTCCAGTAGCTTATTCAAGCTCCCGGGAAGGCTCATGCTCATCAAGATTATTACATATAAGAGTTTGAGCTTTGGAACCTCTCCTAGTATAAAATTTAGTACTCTTCGACCATTTGTCCCCATCATTTCTCCCTGGCTTGAAAGAACTCGACTCCGACGAGTTAAAAGCTTGATATCGCTCATAAAAGTCGGGATCCAGCTGCTGAAATTCAGATTCAGTGATCCAAGTACAATCTAACCTTGGTCGCCCTTCCCAATGAAAGAGAAATTTCTGATAACCCCCAGCTCTAGTAGACACAATTTGGGTATCCAAAATATCATGAATTTTGCCTCGAGCTTGTGGAATAGGTGGTAGAGAAACTACGGGTAATGTATCCGTAGAAACCTCATCATGATCAAAATAGCACGTCAAATCCTCAATATTAAAAACATTGCTAATGCCATAATCATCAGGTAGATCAAGAACATAAGCATTAGAACTAATCTTCTTGAGAATCTTGTAAGGCCCAGCCTTGCGCGAATGAAGCTTCTTGTAAGATCCAGGCGGGTACCTCTCAGGACGTATTCTCACCAAAACTTCATCTCCCTCTTCAAATTCAGCAAATCTCTTTTTCAAATCAGCATGGGACTTGTATTGTTCATTGTTGATAGCTATTTTGCGCCGAACTTCATCATGAATCTCCAAAAGATGCCTAGAAAAAGCTTCAGCTTCTGCACTAGGACGTGCACTTGAGGGCAATGCCACTAGATCTATAGGCTTCCGAGGATTAGCACCAACGACAATCTCAAAAGGACTGTAACCAGTAGACCTGTTGACTGAACTGTTGTAAGGAAATTCAGCCATGGGTAACACTTGATCCCAACTAGATGTATGATCTCCTACAAAACACCGAAGAAGATTCCAAGGCTGCGATTAACAACCTCTGTTTGACCATCTGTTTGGGGATGGAAAGCAGAAGAAAACTTAAGATCAGTTCGCAGCATCTTCCATAGAGTTCGCCAAAAATAACTCATGAATTTCACATCTTGGTCTAAAACTATAGTTTTAGGCAACCCATGTAGTCGGACAACTTCTTTGAAGAAAAGTCTAGCTATATGTGTAGCATCTGATGTCTTTGCACATGGAAGAAATTGAGCCATTTTTGAAAATCTATCCACAACCACAAAAATTGAGTCAAAACTCCGTAATGTCTTTGGCAGCCCTAGGACAAAATCCATACTCACATCTTGCCAAGGTGCATGTGGACTGGTAATGGTGTATATAAACCAGTATTTTGTTTCTGCCCTTTACCCAATTAACATGTTCTACACCTAGCAACAGTTCTGCGCACATCTCTTCAAACTTGGCCAATAAAACCTATCCTCCACCAAGGCAATGGTTATATCTTTACCAAAATGTCCAGCAACACCCCCTCCATGCAGCTCACGAATCACTTCCTCCCGGAGAGAGGTATTAGGCAAAAAGAGACGAGTTCCCTTGAACAAATACCCATCATGTATTGAAAAATCAGGATAACCCGCTTGCTGTCCCGCCTTTATATCTGCATATATAATCTGAAAATCTTTGCAACTAGGATAGTCTTGCTTCAGGGACTCAAAAACCAATCACTTGCATAGCCATAGAAGTAAGAACATGTTGCACACAACTAAGAGTATTAGCCACCTTATTCTCAGTCTCAGCCTTATGTTTAATCACAATTATACTACTGTAGAAAAGGAACCCACTTTCCATGTCGGTGACTCAACTTCTTTTGTGAATTAATGTATTTTAAGGCCTCATGATCTGAATATAGCACAAATTCCTTATAAATAAGGTAATGATGCCAATGACGAAGTGACTGAATAATAGCATAGAACTCCTTGTCATATATAGAATACTTGTGCTTAGCATCATTCAGTTTTTCGTTGAAATAAGCTACAGGATGCCCTTCTTGGCTGAGAACTCCTCCAATGCCGACATTTGAAGCATCACAAGCTACCTCAAAAACTTTAGAGAAATCAGGTAACTTGAGCACGGGTGCTTCGGTCATCTTGCTCTTTATATCTTCAAAAGCCTTTTGAGTAAACTTATCCCACTGAAAACCATCCTTCTTCAGGCAGTTGGTTATTGGTGCCATAATGGTACTGAAACCTTTGATAAACATCCGATAAAACGTGGCTAAACCATGAAAACTTCGTACTTCCTTAATAGTCTTAGGAGCTGGCCACTCTACAATTGCCTTCACTTTGTCTGAATCAGCTTCTATACCTCTGCTGGATATGATAAATCCCAAGAAAACCACACTTGAAGTCATGAAACTGCACTTTTCGTTGTTGGCATACAACTTCTCTTGACGTAAAACACGCAATACTTGCCGAAGATGATCAAGATGCTCTTCCTTTGTAGTGCTTTAGATTAGGATGTCATCAAAGTAAACCACAAGGAACTTACCAGTAAAAGGCTGAAATACTTGAGTTATAAGCCTCATAAAAGTACTGGGAGCGTTTGATAGCCCAAATGGCATAACTAGCCATTCGTAAAGACCATTCTTAGTCTTGAATGTTGTCTTCCATTCATCTCCTGGCCTAATTCTCACTTGATAATACCCTTTCCTCATATCAATCTTCGAAAAGACTGTTGCTCCAGCCATTACATCCAACATATCATCAAGCCTTGGAATAGGAATTCGATATTTGACTATAATCTTGTTAATAGCTCGGCTGTCAAAACACATCCTCCATGTTCCATCCTTTTTGGGTGTCAATAATGCAGGAACAGCACATGGACTCTTGCTTTCTTGAATGGAACTCTTTGCCAACAACTCATCCACTTGTCTCTTGAGCTCCGCAGATTCAGTCGGGTTCATACGATAAGCCGGTAAATTAGGAAGCTGTGACCCAGGAATTAGATCAATAGCATGCTGAATATCTCGCGTAGGAGGTAATCCACTAGGTAAATCTTCAGGAAAAACATCAGAAAAATCTTTCAGCAGTGTAGCAATCTCTGGTGCAAGGGTTATTGAGTTGAATAAAACCTGAACTTGCATCTCTTCCAATACCAAAGCCATCAGAAATCCTTCTTGCTTGCATTCTCTCTCAAATGGCTTCTTGCTGAGAATCTGCAGAGACTTACGTTTGGTTATAGCCCCTTTACTTGGTTTGGGATCTGGTTGTTTCTTCACAAGTATATGCTTCTTAAGAGTTTTTGGACTTTGAGGCTTCAAAACAATTTTCTTACCCTTGAATGTAAAGGCATAAGTGTTGTTTTTTCCGTCATGCGTCACCTCCTTATCATACAACCATGGTCGTCCCAATAAAATATGAGCAACTGTCATAGGGATAACATCACACCAAACTGAGTCTTGATATGGTCCTCGTCTCAAGTTCACTAAGCATCGCCTAGTTACTGGAATGGTGGTGTCATTTATCCAAGCAACCTTGTATGGCTCTGGATGTGGCTCTGTAGGAAGTTTGAGCTTCTCCACTGTAGATTCTGAAACTACATTCATGCAACTTCCTCCGTCAATGATGAGCATCTTGGTGTCACTTCCACAAGATACAAATGTCTGGAATATTGAAATTCGCTTCCAATCTTCTTGGGCAGCCTTTGGGGTACTGAGAATGCGCATCACGACATGTAAGTATGATGTGTCTGCACCACGGTTTCCAAGATCTTCTCCATCACACATTTCAACTCCTCTTATCATCATTGTATTCTGGCTCCTCATACTCTTCATCCATAGGGTCACCAATGAATAAATTTCTCTTAGTTGGACACTCATAAGCCATGTGGCCCTTAATTCCACACTTAAAGCATTCATCCTTCTGGCCCTTAATTCCACACTTAAAGCATTCATCCTTCTGGTCCTTTTCCTTCAACAAAGGCACTTTATTTCTTGGTTCAGCAGCTACTGCAGGCTTTGTGAACCTCCCAGGTGCTGTAAATTTCCTGTTGGACGTCTCCCTAGCTTCGTTGTTCATTCTCGTAAAAGGTTGCAGAACCTTCAAACTTTTCTCAACCCTCAATGCAAGATAAAAAGATTCTTCTATGGTCTTTATCTGGTGGGTAACCATCTAATTACGTATCTCTGGTCTTAATTCTTGCTTCAAGCGAGCTAAAGCCACCTCTTGGCTCTCAACAGCTCTGGATCGAACTTTCGATTCTTCAAATCGGTTCATATAATCGATCACAGTCATTCCTCCTTGCCTTAGGCTATCAAATCATCAAGAAGTTCACCCCTGAGTTCTGAAAACTCGTATTTCTTTTCCAACTTGAACTTCATATATTCCCAAGTAGCATTCGGATCTAGCCCAAGAGCTTCAATCTGTTGCTCAACTCCTTCCCACCATATTAGAGCTTGTCCCTTCAATTTCATTATGGCAAACCTTGCCTTCCTCTCTTCAGGCATCTCATACCAACTAAAATAGCGCTCCAGCTTCTTCATCCAATTAATAAAAACTTGAGGATCGATTTTTCCTTCAAAATCAGGTACCTCCAACTTTGTTCTCCTAACAATATCTTCCACAGGATCAGAGACATATGGATTTTGCCTATCCCATTGTTTCTCATCCTTTTGCTCTAGGAGTTGATGGATCTCAGCCTTGAAGGAAGCATATGATTGCTGCAGTTGAGCAATCTTGCTTGGCGTCTTCAGAACTTCTTCTGATGCAACTCCCTTGCCATCACATTTGGGAACCTTTTGTGGTGATCCAGGTTCTTTCACACCAGCTTCAGAAGTTGGGTTGAGTAATTGGGTCTCAATCTCCAGAATTCTTGCTTCTAGCTCTACAATTCCTTTACCACGGTAGTCAGAATATCCTGGCTGCTTCCCTCTGCATATTCTCTCCCACTTTTCAGCTTTATTGTGAAAAGTTAAACCTTGCTCTAGTACCAAATTGACGCAGCACGAACGTGGGTGGTTTAAACCCAGATCGTAGGTTAAGAAACCTTAAGTACCCAGCAGGAAAATTTAAGAAAATCTCAGAAAAGATAGCTTAAAGAAGTAGTATTGCAGCAGAAAATTAAGGGGTAACCAACTAAGAATCACTCTTAGTCACTTTTGGCGTCACACCTGAGGATTTAAATCTGAATCACTCAACTTTTGCAAAAGCAAAGCTTATTGCAGGAATTTTATTAATCAACGTCTAAAAATCCCTGAAGGGATACAACCTTATTTATAGGCATAAAAAGACTTAAACCAAAACTTATTAAGAGTCTGATTTAAGAAGTCCAGAATCTTCTCCCTTATTACCTAATAACACTTAGAAACTAAATATGAAACAAATACTTAAACTAATTCCCTAAAACCAGAAAATTATGCAACAATGCAAAATACTGAAATACCCTTATACTAAAATACTGAAAAATAAATATAAAAAGAACTTAAATACTTCCAGCAGCTTATTCAAGCTCCCAGGAAGGCTCATGCTCATCAAGGTTATTCCATATAAGAGTTTGAGCTTTGGAATCTCTCCTACCAAGCATAGCTTCAATTGACAGAGGTGGACGCACAGTTTCTCCATTCCGCGAACGTGCTTGATCCAGACGCTCCAAAGAACTCTCAACCGTTTTGAAGAGGAGCTGTAGATATTGATAAGTTGTCCTCTTCAGTATGGCCATGCTGAAAAGGTCCATCAGTAAGTTGATTCAAATCAGAAGGAGGGCAATAAGAAGGCGGCTGCCCATAATTTCACATGCCTACCATAAACAAACATTATTTGAAAGAAACTTAAGAAATTGACATGATTTTTCTAAGATACTAAGTGAGATTGTGTAGTGTGATCCATATAGTCAACTGCACATAACAAGATAGAGGCTTGGCTGCTGTTCTTGATATATTACAGAAAAATAAAGAAATAGATTAAATAATAATAATAATAATAATAATAATATTAATAATAATAATAACAACAAAGAAAAGAAAGTTGTTTTCAGGTTTTGTTTTGCAAGTTTGATTTTTGAAACAATGAAGCATCGTGAATTTGGAAATGAAAGAGACACTCACGTGTTCCTGTGGTAATTCTGGAAAAGAAATTGTCGGGGAAGATCTCTCTGCTGCTGCTAGTGGTGGGGATGAAGCAACCTCTCTAGGGCCACTTCGAGTCTGATCGACCTGGTCACCCTGGACATCAGCAGCTACCAAATTTCCTTTGTTATCTCCTCTTTCCACTGCTAGAGAAGTGTTCAATTCTAAAGTGGAGGCAGTACCAATCTCAGATCCCCCTGTGCTAGGAACCCCTGGAGGAATCTCAACACTAGTGAAGGATACTGCACTTTCTTGCTCAACAACCAAAACCTTATCTGTAACTGGATTCGCTGGAGAACGGAAAGAAGTTTCAGAACAAACATCACCGGCAACTGGATCATCTGCTGCAGTCTCCAACATGACTGAAGGTATCACAATCCCTGCCCCACAGTCATCTTGTACGATTCTATCAATATTTTCTACTCCAGTATCAGAGGTAGCAGTAGGTACTTCCTTTCCAGGACCAGAGGAAGAGATACAAGACATAATCCTATCCATCCAATCATCAATAGATTTTCTCTTCTCTTCTAACTCAGCTGAATGCCTCGCCTGAAGCTCTTTAAGATCTGCCTCCATCAAGTTTTCACGCTCTTGTAATTTCTTCTTAAACTCATTGTCTACTGACTTCAGCATGTCTACCCTCAGTTTTTCAGGATAGGTTAAGTGAATCACAGCTGATTCAAGCCGAACCTCACCCTCCAACTGTAGTTTATGTTTTTCCTTCATCTCACATAACTCCAGAATTTCCTTCTCATGTTTTTGACGCAGCAGGTACATGTATTTATCACATTTCTTCTGAAGCTTTTTAATCTTTTTATCCACAAAATCCCCTCCTAACTCGTCTATAGCTTGTTCCTCTAGAACCTCTACACTAGATGATCTTTCACCAGCCTCCAATTTCACGTTTTGCAGGTCAAAAGACCCTGAGAGAGGATTTCCCGCAAGGGGTAGTTTCTTTCCACAACCTTCTGATGCTGAAACGAGATTTTTTGGAGGTGACCCACTATTGTTTCTCGAAAGTTGCAGAAATCCCTTCTTTAGCGACAGTAATTTCAAGTAGAAAGAGTGTGCTGCTTCCTCTGTGCACTGAAAATTCAAAACCTTCTTTGCAAGCCTAAGAGAATCTCCCTTATCAATTTCTTTTTTCAAGATTGAGGCTGCATTCCAACACTGAGAAAAGAAGAGATTATTTCACAAGAACAATTTTTAAGTACTGCTAAAATATAAAATAAAATGTTGTCATTTTGCTCTCAAATCCGCTGACTGAGTAGGAGACAATTAGAGGGAAGGTGCGGATAGTTATTCTGCAACTAGTATTAAAAAGTGAATTGACTTAGAGCCTGAGGTTTAGTAGCCATGAAGTGAAGGAAATTCAATCATATTTGGGTAGGAAGAGTGTTGATGACTGATAAGTTACATCAGGTTGATGAAAACATCAAAATAGTACTGAATCTAAGGCCTTATGAAATTATTGAAGTTTTTATTCTTTATAAACCAAGGTGTATATTTTGAAAATAAGTCTCATGCGTTGAATGTGCTGTTCATTCAGTTTATAAGGTACAGGGGCTCATTTCTCAAAAAGAAAAAAAAAAATCTAACACAATAAATTGTAAATTATAGAGGCAAGTAAGGTTTGTCCTAAAAACCAAATTCTTTTAAGGAATAAGGACCAACACAAGGACAAAAGACAAACATACAATCACAATTAAGTTCCCATAGTGGAAACAAATAGGACCACATTTCTCTGTTATTCATGGCAGAATTCCTTTTAATCTTGCACATATACATGATATCCAGACAGAAGAAAAGTGATATATGTAAACAAACATTCACTTCAGGTCAAATATGATACCTATGAAGTAGCCAACATGCAAAAGGATAACCAAAGGAAACTGAGTCAATAAGCCATCATCTGTTACTCTCAGATTTCTCTACGTGACATGTTACTTCTTAAACTTCACAAAAATAAATAAATAAATACCCCCATCTCTTCGATTTTACTTATTAAAAGACAAGAGCATAGATTCTCTACACAGAACGACAGAAGTATAATCAAAAGAGTCCTAATTAATTATCTAGATCATGGACAATTTATGTTAATATTAATTACCAAAATAAACAGTTGATAGCGAGAGAAACTGAAGGTTTACTTCCTAAAACAAAAGCCATTCAAGCAATAAAATTAGAGTATATATCACTCATATTACAGAAAAGTGTTAAGAAAAAAAAAAAAGGTTCTGTTAACGTCATACTACTATACTTATCTAATTAGGACTGAACTGCGGGATAGCAAAGTTTTGAAAAGTTTGAAATATTATTACAGAAAGCTAATGCAACAAAGAACTTGTTTGATACTAGACAACAACCAGTTTCTCTTTCTACCTAATAGAGAAAAAGATACTCAAGATCTCATTTGATTTGATTCCAATCCTAAATAGACCAAATTCCTTCTCCTAACAATTGGGATGAAGACCAGTTCCATTCCCAGCCAAGTACCCATTAGCTTTGGAGTGGGACAAAGCTCCAAGTTAGTTAATTTTACAAGTTATCAATTCAGAATTCTGCAAGTTCCTATGGTTATTGTACACCTAGATCCCTCAGATGGATGTCAGATTTTAGGCTAACTGCTCTATGCTTCGCAGAAGTTCAGTATACAAGGAATGTCCAATATGGCTTTTGGACAATTTCTCAGACCATCTTAAAGATAAAGTTAGTAGTCCAACTGTCTTTATTTCCTCTGTACAACAAAGAAAGGGCCAAATGGAAGAAATAATAATCCTATTTGTGATATGTTCCAAAGTTACCACAAGCTAAGTTATAAAAGGTTTTTTCTCACAGAAGCAACAAATAACATCAACGATAAAAGGACCGTGAGACAACCTACTAAAATTCTTACAACCATTGGCACTGCTTCAGTTTTAGTATCCTGACATGTCACTTTAGCATTGCAGACGGCATCTAGTTTGTTCTAATGTCATTTCTAAAATAACAACTATTATTCCAATTGTAGTCAAGACCAAGGAATTAAGGGCATATCTCTATACCACCCCCCAACTTCAGGTGCACAATAGCAAAAGAGGCAGCTACTGCAGATAAGATTTCTTAAAAAAAAAACAACAGTCCAACCAAAAATAAATGGAACTCAAACCAGTCAACTTCATAAACACGGTTTTTGCTGCCCTGTTTAACGAGCAAGAACATATAGAAAGCAGAGAGTATATAATTAGTAAATACAACGCGAACTGCCCTGGGAACAGCAGCCAGTTCCATATAAGTGACAACAGATAGATAGCAATGGATATGGACAATTTACTGTAGGACATGACATGTGATAATTCACTGAGGGAAAATCATGACACCAATATCAGCATTTGAGGTAGCGCCTTAGCAGGGATAGAGTGAAGGATCAGCAAAGCCACTGACATGATAAAATAGAGAAGATTAGCAGAAAACAATTGTCTGCTTAACAAATTTTAGAGCATTTTTACCCAGTCATGGACCGTGGATGCAGAAGTAGGATTCTACTAGAACAAAATGCACAGAGAAGTATTTTGTACAAACTAATTTGTGTTGTTTATTCTTTCAACTGGGGGTCAGCATGGCAAGTCCCAAAATCTTGTCAAAGAGAGAAGCCACAAATAGTTGGTGAATTGTCCATTACTTTAGTGCCCTAACAACGTACTCGTAGAAGACATGTCTTCTCCAGTGTTACTAAAGACTAAGACAGTATGACTCGGTTCTGGGGAAAGGGTTAGAAGCTCAAGCATCACAACTGATAATTCTAAAGTTCCACAAACAAAATTGTTTTTAAGTTCGATAATTATCCAACCACTGCAAAAAGTAGAATAGTTCATGAATGGCTATGGGTTTCTACAAGGTATATCAGTTGTACAAGATAGTAAACAAACACCTACCAGAGATATTTGAAAAGCCTGAAGGATTGGCACGGAATCCTGATTGACGTGATGATTCTTCATTACATAATCCAGAAAGGCTTCTACAGTTTGCTTGATCATCTGCATTTCAAGAGATTATTCATCAGATAAATACATCGCAGGATAAAGAAAATAGAGATAACAGCACAGAGAAAATAGAGATAAGGCAGATAAATCAATCATACTGTCACTATGACAATCAGATCTGCTCTCGATAAATAAACGTAGTCTTTAATTCCAAGAAAGTTTGGTTTAGGATCAAATAAATCCAAGTCTACTAGAGAGCAAGGCTGTAATACAGAATTTACCTAGAAAGAATTGCGTTGACAAACCTTTATCTATCCATATGAAGAACAAATTAAGTAACGACAGAGATCCTTTTTTCATAAGATGGTGCTTCAAACTAGGAAAAAGCATGAAAAGCTTAACAATCATCTAAATTCTTTCCAATTGTTAAACCTGAGTGGTCACTCAATCTAGACTGAAGCCCATCTAGACCCGAATAAGAAAATGGGGAAGTTCTGTGGACTTAAGGAGACCAAGTCAGTAAACTTAGAAATCCATTCGTTCAAGCACCACCCATACACAAAATATAAGGCTCAGATTAGCAACAATACAATTTAAGCATCCAGTAGCTTCGCAAGGGAACTAGTTCCTCTCTTAGCAGAAATAAGAGAGCGTTCATGCTCAATGACAGAACATGTACGAGTACTAAAGTAAGTCCGAGTTTATTAGCCAATATTACTGAGCAGAGAGGTAATGTGGTCAATTTTTTGACCTCATCTTACAGATTCATTACTTCTCCCCTGCTTTCCCCCTATGTCAACTAGGTTACACTTCAAAGCTCCACTATCTTCAAACCCAAGTTTATGTTTGGAGCTCTAAGGTGAATATAATTTAGATAGTGATTTCAAGCATTAGTAACTTCAGCCTACACCTGCGCAACAAAAAAAAGATATATGCCAAAAGAAGCAGACACGACAATAAGTGTAGTTCAAGATTTTGGAGGGATGTTTCCTCAAAGGAACTTCCGAATAATTACTATCCAGATTCAGATTTTGGTCCATTCGCTAATTCTCAAGAAAAAGGAGCATTGATGAGATGCTAAGATTACTCCTTTGTGGTTGTTAAGGGGATTGATTCCTGGAATAGACTCTTTGCAAATAAAAAAAAAAGCAAGGGCAAGACAAATAAGAATGACCCTCCCCCACACCCTCGCCTAGTGAGGGCCCTTTCGCTAATTCCTACGAAGGAAGTTTTTGCAGAGATACTAGAGTTCCACATTCGTGCCATTTCCTCTTGAAGAAATTCTCCCTTAACATTACTAGGTGTTTCCACCTGCATGCTGTGCAAAGTTCCTACTCTAGTTTCTAATTCCAACAATTTGACTTTAAACCACAAAGTTAATCATATTTCAGCTATTAAGTGTCACAACGAAGAAGTCTTCACTGAATGTCTATGGGAAACAAAATGCACATAGCACAATCTTGACTAGTCAAATCATAACTAAACATACCGCACATAATTTCATAGCACAAGGGCATACAGATAAGGAATGTGCCTATTCCTCAACACCCAGTCCCCTCTACTCCCCCGAGCAGAGCTGACAGAAGAGATAATAAGAGTTGGATGGGTGACAAAAAGGGGATCAGAAGGACTTCCTCAATCAATTAAGCGCACATGTCTCCTCAAACTAATAGGGTAAACATGAAAAATAACAAGAACATAACAGATAATCAGTTCAAACCCCGAACAACCCCTCCCCGACCCAGTAAAGAAAAAAAAAACCCGATAGCATACTAAAGGAAACTCAAAAAAAAAATAAAAAAATAGAAGTTTTACCGGAAGCTGTAGAACTTCACAAAGCTTTTCCATCTCAGCACTCAGATATTTATGTAGGCTCCTTTGTTCATCTGAAAAAGAATCTTTCGGAGAGAGACAATCATTTCCCTTATCCAATCCATGAGCATCTGACAAAGACAAAGACCCAGAATGATAAGGGGCAGCATAAGCAGAAAATTCATCTCAACAACCAAATAAAACTAGATGCACTATGATAGCAGTTGAAATGATTATTTTTTTACTTAAGAACTAGTATCTTTTTAGAAATATTTACCACCTTTTGAAACTGCAGATTGAGCACTTCCTTCCAGTTTGAGTTGAAAAGTCGACGCAGTCTCTCTAGCATCAGCAACTTTACGGCGCTCTGTTCCAGTTTCATTACTCTCATAGGGGGCTTCCTCCAGAGATGGTTTTATCTCCATGAGCACACGACCAAAGCTTACGTCCTCCAGATGCCCAATTGGTCGGGAACCAGCTGCCAAGTTGTCTGGATTGTCACGATCTGCAAGAGAACACAAGGGATATATCAACAAATAAACCCCTGTGATGGGCTAGAAATAGCAAATGCCAGCGGATTACATTTCGGATTCTAGTAATCCAGAATCTAGTTCTACTTGTAAATAACTCCCTCCAACACCATAAAAATAGTACATTTTGTTAACAAAGTGAACTACATTTATAGACGTGAACCAAGGAGTACAACTTAAAACATTAATGTTAATGAAATTCCATTTCTAGTCAGGTAACGCTAATTATTATGTTGACTATTATACTCCATCATAAATTTCGCATAAATGTGGGGGATGGGGTGGAGGATGGGAGAAGAATAAACTTAGGCATACATCTAACTGTTCCGCCAACAATAGCCAAACTTAAAAACATTTTATGGCTGGTCAATACATGTCCAAATAATCCAAACAAAACAATCACTATTAGGATATGAACCTACCTTTTACTAAGCATAGTTTTCTCTGTGGCACAAAAAGAGACCTATAATGACAAGCAGTAGTCGCCTCCCTTTCCAACCTACAAGCTTTATGGTCATGGTCTCCACCCAGGCTAACTTTTTCACCCTCTATATTCAACTGCTCTACACTCTTCTCTTTCTTCATTTCCTTCTTTACTTGTCCCACCACTGAACTGGAGACTTTCTCAAAGCTCTTTGATCCAGTTTCTGTTGGTAAAACTTGAGACCTATCTGGTCCCCTCAGAGGACTCAGGGAGCTCTGCTTCTCTAATCACTGAGATTTCCTTGGAAACATGGGAGATTGGGAAGCTGTCCGTTTCTCAAGTTGTGCAGACATTGATGGACTTGACGTGAGTGATGCAGATAATGAATTCCCTCAAACTGTTTATGCTCGAAATGTCCTTTTTTGACCCAGAATTCAAAGTCCCTCATCATGATCTTCTATTCTTCTACCTGAACTATTGCCAGACTACGCATCATTAGCCTTCCTTCTCACTGTAATTCATGGAAATTATGGCAGCTAAGTAGATTAACCATCAACCTTTGTGCTTCAAACACCACATATTTTCACCTTCTCCGCTTACCAAAAATTCATAAATAATCAAATCACGCACAATATCATGCACCTCCTAAGTTTCGGCTTCTTCTCACTTCAAATTATTGAATCAAAAAGATATATTTCACTGAGAACGAATACAATGCACATTTAAAAGAGCATAAACCATAATCATTGCACATTTATCAGAAAAAAAAAAAAAAAAAAACAAAGTCCCCTCAGATTAAAGTCTGGTTTTAGATGCAGCAAAACCATGTTTAAGCACTTCATTCAGAAACAAGAGACAAGAACAAACCAAAACAATAACTCAATCATTACAGCATCAACTCTCCGAGCAGCCATGTCCGCAAAATTCGCAAGGGTAAAATGCAGGACAATTAGGGGAAATTGACTAGCTAGTGAAATAATGCCTCACTTAAGAACGCAATCCGCAACTAAGCTCGAAAACTAACAATGTCGAGTAATGTAAGCAAAATTCAAGTGATTTAAGTAGTATTAGCAATGATTACCTTTGAGGAGCACGGAAACCCTAAGATCGGTAGAACTCCGATATTGTTGTCAAAAATGTTCAATTCCGGCAGAGATTTCTCCTGACTAACAATCAGCAGAAAGTAGAGGGTGGAAAATCAATATTGCTCGGATTGATCAACTACTCCGGCCGAAGCTACGGACGGAATAAGTGTGATGATTCGAGTGCAGAGCAGAATGTATTTGCAGTTGGATTAGTTTGGGAAGAATAACAAAACAAAGGAAATGGTTCCCGCGGATTTGAAGAAATGTATATAGTACTGTATTTTTTATTTGAAGTTGTTCAGACGAGGGGAGTTCAAATTGGGTAAGCATTGTAAAATCAGGCTATCCGCAAAGACCGTGCAGGAAATGAACCGACTAAAAAAACTAAAATCATCCAAAAAACGATTTTAACTTTTAATTTTAATCTAAGAACATTATGTAAAATTTTCAGAGTTACGTGGCCAGTGGCCATGGCATAATATTAATTATCTCATTAACCTAATTCAACGTCTTAAAACTCAAATGTCACCTACACGATGCTATGAAGACGGAAAATGAGAACAACAATCTATGTATTTTGTCTTTTTCTAAAAATATTAAATATGTGATTGATAGAAGGTAATGAGAGAAAAATAAATTATATAAAAATTTCATTCACAACTAGTAACAACCATGTGAATAAAGTACACATGACATTATTTCCAAGACCTAAACAATGGAATTTAAAAAAAAAAAAATTTATAGTGTTTGATTTATGAGTAGTCTTTATTCTTGAAGAGGTTCAACTTTCCTTCCATTCTATTTTTACTAAAAAAAAAAATCACTTTCACTGTTGTCAAATTTAAATTTTTATTTTTATTCAAATTATATTCATAATAATAATCCAAACTAAATAATCATTGAAGAGAAGAAGGTTATCATTTTTGCGAATATCGGATTAAATATAGAGAGGTTAACCATTTCTTCTCTTAGCTAACCATGATCTAAATTCTCAACTTTAATTACAACGCCCTTTATATTAATGAGTTGAATGTTTTTTTTTAATCAAATTGAAGCCTTCCTATTCAACATTTCTTTTGACGGAAGAAACTTTTTTAATAACCTTATTGCATCCTCAAGGTTTTTTTCATTTACGCATTGATGATATTGATAAAAGACAATGTAAATATCAGGAACAAAATGGCAGGACATAAAAAACAGCCCCTTCTCAGCCAAGAAGCATAAATATGCACCAGAAGTCACGTAACCTAGGGCCAAATTTATTAGTAATTTAACTCGGTAAATACAGCTGCAAGGTCCAAATGCTGAATACTGTAACCGGTACCACTATCATTATTATTCAAGCTACCTCCAAAAATATTCAATTTTCTACCTACCAGCTTTATCAAAACCAACCAAGCAGCCGAGTCTTTATTGGAGAAGTAAACACAATTCTAAAAGGTAATCAGCTAAGTCTATACAAGACTACAAAATCTACTCAACACAGATGAAATGTCGCGATGCAACCCACTTAAAATTGCTTTTCTCCAGGAAAAATCCCACAGCCAAAATGTGTGGATTGCAACTAAGAAGAAAAGTGAAATTTCTTAACCCAAGTTTATCTTCAAATAGTTGGTGAATTGTCCATGACTGGAATGACACCAAAATAGGAGATACAAGATGCAATTGGATTACGTGGGATGCCGAAACCGGGGAGATTGTTGGAGATGCGGACAACAAGGTCACTTCCCAATTTGTGTCCTAACTCGCACGTCGGAGTCGATAGAGCACCTATAGTTCACCAAGAAAAGTGAAAGTTATTTATTTTTTTGTTGTGTTTTGGGAACTCCTGTTATTTTAACTGACACCTGTTTAACAGATGTAAACTTTTGTGTTGATAAATTCGTAACATATGTTGTTAGGATTGCATTGTTGGTGTAATGGTTGTGCTTGAAATTGATGATAGTTGTTGAAAAGGCTATTTACTGGTTTTGAGATCATGCAAAAACAAAATTTAACATTTTTATTTTTTTGTACAAATCTTGAACTTGTCAAATCCGAGGTTATGTATTTTATACAAAAATCGCCCAAATCCGAATGCACCTAACAGCAGATCGGATTTCGCAGCTTTGAGGTTACCTTGTTCGTACTACTTCCAAACTTCCCAAATCCGAGTTTCGGTGCAGACAAAAAATCAATTCGGGAGCGTGCAATTTTAAGAAAAGCGGGGAAGATTCGAATTTTACTGATCCGAAGTTAGTTGTTTCGGATTTCGGAAATCTGAATCTAGCGGGACTATAAAACAAAGTCAACCCATTGTTTCCCCATTTTAACTCCCTCCCCCAACTGAAATCCCTCACTCCCTCCTCCCGACTAAAATCTAAGAAATCCGGCCACCTCCCTTCGTCACCTCCCCTCTGTCCACTTCCCCTCCTCTTCATAAACTGGCGACTCACTCCAAACCTCCCGGTAACTAATTTTCCCTAATTTTTGTCTTTTAATTTTTGGCCCTAAATTTTTGCCCTGATTTTTTTCTCATAATTGTTGGTTTCAATTTCTTGTTTGTTTGTTATCTTTTCCAAATGTAGTTTGTTACATTGAATTTGGATTTTTATGTTGTCGTCGGTATTATTAACGTAATTCTCTTAGTTTGTTCTCCCTTTTATGGGAATTTTGAAATCGAATGCAGTTCAAAGAGCTTGTTTTATTGACTTTTGTTTTTTTTTTACTTTATATGGTGTATTTTTTGTAAATTTCAAAAGTTTATTTATTTATTATTATTATTATTATTATTATTTACTTTTCGTTTGCTTCTTTTTGGATAGGATGTATGAAATTGTATAGTGAACTTGGCGTAGTTTGTGTAATTGTTGCAATCGAAATGGTGTTATATTGTAGTACAATGACCTTTTTTTTTGGTCGAATGGAATTTGATATGCTATTGTTCATAGTTTTTGTTTGTTTTCTCTTTCCTTTTATTGAATTTGATATGCTATTTGTTTGTTTCCATCCTTTTTACTGCATTTGAGATCCTATTTGATATGCTATTTTGGATAATCTTTTGATGTGCATTTAAAATTGTGTATTTGTGTGATTGTTGCATAGGTATACATGGCGAGTTCATCTAGCTCGCAATATAAGCCTAAATATCTTAATCCGAGCTCGATAGAAAAAGACCTATTATACCTTTAACATGAACACAAGAACAAAGCTGTGTTTAAGGACCAAATCCCGCACATTAAAACCTTGGTTCTCAAGGGCAGTAGGTATGGTAGTAATTTTTTGGAAATAATCAAAGATACCAATGACGAGGTTAAGGAAATCATCGCTCAAGCCAGTTTTCGGGAGATACTGAAAGTAGGCAACAAAAAAATGGATAGCGGTCTCATCACTGTATTGGTGGAGTGGTGGAGGCCAGAGACACACACTTTTCACTTTAATTTTGGAGAGACAACTGTGACACTACAGGATGTCGAGGTGCTCTTGGGTCTTCCGGTCGGTGGTGATCCGGTTTACGGGGAGACAGTTAACCAAAATTTAGAAGATTGGCATGCAGTCAAGATGTCAGACTTATTTGGGATTCACTTAGGCCAAGGATCAAATAATTGGTGGTTTTGCTCATCATAAGGTGGGAGTGTAAATACACCTACAAGGACGTCCTAAGGAGAAACTTGCTAGCTTTTAGAGATCACCTGACGAGCCTACTTGAGGGAGATGTAAGTACTCATTACTTTTGTACTTTATATTTTTTCTTTCATTTCTTCGTTAATGAAACTTGAATGATTTAAATGCATTTCGTAGTCAGCCTTACAACATCCCATTTTACACAGTTTAAGTGGTAATCCTATGAGGACTTCCTCCCTCACCTGCCTGCTTTCTGTAAACAGGAACAAGCTATTTGGCTAGCCATTAGGGTTGTGAGGCAGTTTGGGTAGATACAGGGTACTCCTAGGGACCCTATGATTCTTTCTCTCTCGACCTTGTGATTTGATCATGGCCACAGCATCAACAAGAACTGAGTGTCTCACCATGCATAGCTACACTCTCATTGGGACCGGATAACCCAGTATGTTCCAAGGGATTTGGATCTTGGAGCC